GAAATCTCCATGGACTTGGTTCACCAACAGCTGAGAATCAGAGAACACCTTTAGCTTATTTACGTGCATAGATTCCGCAAGGCTTAGTCTAGACAATAGGGCCTCATATTCTGCTTCATTATTTGTTGCCGGAAATAGAAATTTGACAGAATGACAAAACATCTTGTTCTGAGGATCTATCAGAATGACTCCTCCACCAGCTCGATGTTGAGTCAACGAACCATCAACATATAAAGTCCATGATTGATCACCATTAATTGTCTCGATTGCAGGAGTAAACTCGGCAATAAAGTCAGATAAAACTTGGGCTTTAATTGCAGTTCTTGGTTTATAATAAATATCGTACTGACCAAGTTCAATGGCCCACTTGATCAGTCTTCCCGATGTGTCAGGTCGGTGTAAAATTGACTTCAAATTAAAGGGTAGGAAGTAAGTACCGTTATTGAATGCTCTTGAAAATAAGGACGTAATTTCCGAGCTGCGATGACAAGTGCATATGCTAATTTCTCCATCGGTGGATATCGTAACTCAGCCTCATGTAAAGCTTTGCTGATGTAATAAATTGGATATTGTTGATGTCCTTCTTCTCGAATAAGAACAACACTGATAGCGGAATCACTTACTCCCAAGTACAAGAATAACATTTCTTCAGGTATCGGTTTTTGCAAAGTCGGGATTTGAAGAAGTGTCTCTTTTATCTTTTCCAGAGCTTGTTGACATTCTTTGGTCCACTCAAACTGTTTTCCCTTCTTTATAGATTCGAAAAAGGGTCTGCATCGGTCTGTTGATTTCGATATAAACCGATTCAAAGTGGCAAGTCGACCGGTAAGGGCTTGAACACTTTTAACCGACGTGGGAGGTGTTAGATCCATAATGGCCTTTATCTTCAAGGGATTTTCTTCGATGCCTCGATGAGTCACAATGTATCCCAAAAATTTACCAGATCCAACCCCGAAAGTGCATTTCTTCGGATTTAACACCATGGAATACTTTCTTAAGATGTTGAACATCTCTTGTAGATGATTAATGTGATCAGCCGCACGAACCGACTTAACAAGCATGTCGTCGACATAAACTTCCATTGTTTGACCGATAAGCTTGGCAAACATTTTATTAACCAACCTTTGATATGTGGCCCTAGCATTTTTCAAGCCGAACGGCATCATGGTATAACAGTATAATCCTCGGGCTGAATAAAAAGATGTATGCTCTGCTTCTTCAGGATCCATAGGAATTTGATTATATCCCGAATAGGCGTCCATGAAACTCATTAATTCATGTCCAGCTGTGGCATCCACCATGTAATCGATATGTGGTAAAGGGTAACTGTCTTTGGGACAGGCTTTATTTAAGTCGGAAAAATCGATACAGAGTCGCCATGCACCGGAACTCTTCTTTACCAAAACAGGATTCGATACCCAAGTCGGATATTTCGTTTCCTGAATGAACTTATTATCGATCAACTTTCGAACTTCTTCTTCGAGAGCCTTTTGCCGATCGGGACCAAGTTTGCGCCGCTTTTGGACCACTGGTTTAATCGTCGGATCCAGATTTAGTCGGTGAGAAGCAACCTTCGGATTAATCCCCTTCATATCTTCATGTTTCCAAGCAAATACATCGGAATTGGCCTTGAGAAACTGAATAAACTGAGTTCGTATCGGTTCTTGAAGACTGGCCCCAATCTGCAATGGCTTTTTACAAATCGGGTCATCGGCATAAATTGTTTCAACATCTTCAGATGGTTCTGCTCGATCAGGTTTATTCTTTTCCTTGAATTGAGTTCGAGGATCAAGTTCATCTTCTTCTTTAATTGGCTCTTTTCCTTGACGCTTCCCACGATCACAAACCAGATCATTATTTGATTTCGTTGGGTCAAGTTCCATCTCGGTATTGTATGATTCCGAGTTGATAGGAGTTGAGTCTTCTTGGTTTTTCTTGATGCTCTCTATCATATGTATAGGTATACCTGGTTCATGCCAAGGTTTAATCCATACCATTCCACGAGCTTCGTACTGATCTCCATAATGAGTTCCTTCTCCATTGTTGGTGGGAAATTTCAAAGCATAATGAAAGATCGAGACAGCTGCACGAAGTTTATATAGAGCTGTCCTTCCAATGATGGCATTATATTGATTTTTAAGATCCATCACCTTAAATGTTTCCATAATAACTTTGGAAGCTTGTCCAGGGATTCCAAACCGAATTGGCATAGTAATTTCACCAAGGGTCGATGTAATTGTTCCATTAAAGCCTTGCACTTGATCTTTGCAGGGTTTCAACTCGGCTGGATCAATTCCCATTTGTTCGAATGTGCGTAACATTAAGATGCTTGAATATGCTCCTGTGTCTACTAACATGCGATGTATCGGTATACCACAAATGGGTGCCGTGATTATTAGGGGATCAGCATGAGGGTGAGCGAAGTAACTAGCATCATCCACATTGAATGTTATTGGACAATTATTTCGAGCATTAATTTTATCTCGGAGGTCGGTCGTCAAAATGGTTTTTCCCGAATTGAAAGCTTTTCGAGCATATGCCTTTATTTGCCGCCGTGATTCAAACGTTGCATTGCTACTGTTATTGACCCGAGTAACATGATGAGAATTATCAGGATTGTAATATCCTCCTCGTTGAATCATTTCAGTATTCTTCATCAAATCACTTTCTTCTTGATTCATCATGTATATTTTTTTATCACTTCGTCTCACCCGTTTCGGATTAATTGGACGTTCCTCGTCTTCATCATCATCTGGTAAATCTAACAATCTTCCCTTTCGTTTATAATCTACATTTTTGGCAAACTTTTGAACTTGAGGATGCCCAATAAGTCGCAATAAGGCAGAGAGTAAACCGAGGCATTCATCAGTATTATGGCCCGCCGACTTGTGATATGAACAATATCTTGTCTTATCGAGTCTTTCTTCAGGAGTTCGCACAGGCCGAGGGTCAGGAAGAATTCCTTTCCCTTTCAATTCTTCAAATATGGTTGCTGCTCCTGCCGAGAAAACTGCCTGATAGCTAGATTTAATTTCATTAAGGTATTTGGTTCTAGCTTCTTGCACCTCGGGCATCTTAGGATTCCCAAACCGTGACTTATTTGGTTTGAAGAATTTATTTTTCTTCTTCTTTGACTCTTATCCGACATCCGACTTAGGTGAAGAAAAGTCGATATTTGGAACTGACATTGATTCTTCAGCTATAATATGTTGTTGAGCTCGAGCCAAGAAATCTTGAAACGAAGTCGGTTTATTCTGACAGATACTCCAACGGAACAATGAATTTGGCTTCAACCCTGCTATGGCTGTGACTAACAACGTTTCGGGATGACATTGTTCCATATTTTGTATACGTTCATTAAACCGAGTAATATAGTCCTTTACACTTTCATCGTCTTTTTGCACAATATTTGCTATTGATTCTTTGGGAATTAAAGAAACTCGGGCCCCGATAAAATGAGATCGGAAAGCCGTTCTCAATTGTTGCCACGTGGAGATTGAACACCGAGGTAAGGAATGGTACCACTTTTGAGCTCGAGGTCCCAAAGTTAACGAAAACATCCGACATCTGAGTGCTTCAGTTGCCCCATGAAGGTCCATCCATGAAGTATATTGGCCAAGATGAGCATCAGGATAAGAAGTTCCATCATATAAACCGATTTGTGGAACCTTAACCTTGGTTGGAAGTGGCTCCCTGGTCAAATGAGGGGCTAAAGGAGTTTCTACTTCTTGATAAGTCCCTTCCATCCTTGGAATTTGTCGTCGTGATTCTTCCTGATCATCTTGTCGAGTTTCTAACTCAGCAATTCTTTTTCTTAACATTTCCAGCTCCTCTGATTCACGTCTTAAACGATTTCTTTCAATTAGACGACGTAACTCATTTTGCTCACGACGAATATGATTTTGTTCAAGAGTTTGTCGTAAATCAGAGGGTTGTCCATGTTGAGATGTTCTTGGTAACGAAGGAGCTGGTTGTCGTGGTCGACGTCCAGAATGACTTTCTGCAGTAGCTTCTGATCGAACTGCATCTGGAATATGAGTTTGTACAGGAACTACTCCACGATTTTGAGTCGGAACATCATGTTGTGATTCATGTATGCGTGGATGAGAGGTTGCATGCGATGCAGCAGGAATATCATTTCTTCGTGGAACTTGTGCAGGACGAGTTTGAGGATTAACCGCTGCGGTTGGTTCTATTCTTGTTCGTGCCATAAAATCAGTTAAATTTTTCAAGAACTCTGGATCTTGAAACAGAACGGAATAATCAATTAATGTAGATGGCACGACAGAATTCCCAGTTGTATGAGTGGGGTGACGATTAATTCTAGTATCTGGATTTCGTTCGTTTCGCCCAGAGTTTGACATCCTTGTTATATGTTAAATTCTCAGACAATCAACTGATCGAAGGTCCCGCCCTTCTTCTAGCGCCAAACTGTTGTTGTCTAGAATTAACAACTTGAAATTAAATATAGCGGATGTGCAGATGATTGAGATAAGTGTTAAATTGGATTTTCTTTTATAATCACAAGAGTACAGAAGTCGGTTTTATTGCTGAAAACGGAGATCATTACAAGTCATGTATCATCTGTTCGAAAAAAGATCCTCGTACTATCATAAATTCTGCTATTTATAGTACGGTAATTTTTGTCTTCTTGATCGAAACGGATAAAGACGCATTTAATGTTGAGCTGCTTTACTTTAAGCGGTGGGAAACATCAATTATTACTTTTCGTTTTGCTGGTCCAATCAGATGCTTCCAATGATTACTTTCTGTTTGGATGTCGGTTCTTTTGAAGATGTCGGTTCTTTTGAAGATGTCGGAAGTCGGTAATTCTTCAGAAGTCGGTAATTAATTCTAATTAATACCGACCTATCTTAAGAAGTATCTTTTCAACAAAACGATTAATCTCCGTCTTCAATCTTGTGACCAAGTCGGATATCAACACAACTTTATATTATATATTAAAACCCGTTGAGAGCTGCAATGAGGCGTGAGACACAATCCGAATCCCCATATTCGGACATATCAAATTTCATAATCTGGGCTTCGTCATCAAAGTGTTCCTCCGCAAGAGCTCTTGCGAGCTTCGTCCTTCCAGAGCCATGGCGTCCCAGAAAGAAAAAAGAAGCTGAGGATTTTTTCGGCGCCAACAAAGCAGACACGATCTTCTTGACAACCAAATCATCCAATCCAACTAACCTCTCCGATAACCTCTGCCCCACATTCTCAAGCTTAGTCCTCAGCTCCAAAGGTGACTGGAAACACTTCAAGGGAAGACCAGTCTTGGAACTCATCGCCTAAAAAATAGCACGATATCAACGATAAAGATCACGTCCTTGATTCTAACTAAACTGGGAACAAGAGTAATGAAAATTCACATAACTCGCAAGATATCGAGTTCCAAGACTGAACGTCTTTCGTGAAATGCAATGGGTATGGTTTCCAGCAGTCGGTGTGCGGTAAAACCGAGTGGTGGCAGCACCCGAATAAGCTCATCAGCCTCTGCATAATTATTCACACGAGTAACCGCATCACGCAATCTTTCTAACAAACCGACTCTTTCTTCGGATTTATGTCTCATCTGCTCCGTCGGGCGAGCCCACCTACGTTTGAAGTCATCCCATTTGTTCGTGAAATCCGCAAGCTCTTTCTCAACCTTAATAAATAGCAGTAGCAGTCGGAAAAAATAAGTAAATAAATAAATAAAAGGCAAATAATGGATAAAACAACAGTTAAGAGTCAAAGAAGCTAGCAGAATTTGTACATGAGGCAGAAGGACTGATCGACAAAAAAGGGATTTTTCTTTTCTGAGTTCGGTGGCCTCAACGAATGCGCGATCCAGATAGTACTCGTCCCAATCCAACTTTCTTTCCTCACTGTCTGAATCATGGTTTGTCCTCCACCTCTGGCAAGCGCTCTCAAGCAACTCCCAAACATTATTATCCTCAACCATTTTCGAGTTTCCTTCACATTCTGAACATGATCAACCAAAAACAGATCTCAACTCTTAAAAAAATGAATTGAAAACATTTGCGTAGTACAATGTGACAAAATTTGATACACGCAAGTAAGGGCATGGATTTTGCTTTTATTTACGCTGTATATCTGAATACAGAAATAAAAGATGAGAATCTGTCATACACACACATTATACATAAACCTCAAACTAAACAATGGAGAACAGGGACGAAACAATGCATACACAAACATTCACAAATCACGCGATGAAACATAATAACCGAAATTAGATAGACATGAACCTTGAAGAAGTTTGGTGAGAGAGATGAACGCCATAAGTTAATTCCAACTCTCGTTTCTGTGTGATTTTCTCCCCCATCTCGGCTAATCGTTAGCCGTTTTTAGTAGAACTCAACTCAATTTATAAAGAAATCTTGTAATGCACTAATTTTTTAATTATTAATTTCACTTTTTTAAAATAACAAAACGATTAAAATCGAGTTTTCCTTATTAATCCCCAATCCCTTATTCAATTAATAATCCGTCAAAACAATTTAAAGAGTGTACGCAAGATATTTTTAGAAACCTTTTATAGACTGCATAATTATTTATGTTTTGTCATTGTCACACTCACACACATGTTCTTTATCATTACTTTTTAAGTACCAAGTGTAAGTATATATAATTGTTTCATAATTTTTACATCATTTTCAACAATACATCATGTCTATGTCTAATGACCAATGAAGTTTTGACAACAAGTTTACGCCATTTAAAGAGAATTTTGATGTTGAGTTCAATGGTTGTCAGGTTCATTCAGACATCAAAGATGTTGATAGGGTAACATTCACTTAATATGTAATTGATTGATTTATTTAGTTGTTCACTTTCATTTTAAAATTATATACATTTTGGACATCAAGAGATAACAGTACCACATTCTTCACAATTCTTCTGTATGAGGATCGAGCATTGCAAAATATGAGAGCGTCGGGTGATTATTGTTTTATAATGATTTCATCTTTTTTACATTGTTAACTTTTATCATTCATGCGTATCTAATATTTATTTGGACTAATGAAACATATGTTAGAATAAATGTGTCGAAATACACAGGAATCCTACGAACTGATATGTAATTTTTCAGTTCTTACAAATGATTTAAAAATAGAAAATTATAATAGAACTGAAAATAAATTACAACTTGGAAAAACGAAAAGATTAAAGCCGAGGCGAGTAAACTCTTTCCACAAGAAAAATACTCCCCCGTGTGTTGCTAACGGTTCAGGCGTAAGTTCCCTAAAAATGCAACGGTAATCATCTCTAAATCTGTAGCACACCAGATTTACGAGCTCCGGCGAACTAGAACGGAGTCGAGAATTGAGCACTTAAAATAGGAATAAAATTATCTCTCGTTTGCTATTTTGATAACAGATAATTTTTATATCTGCTTTTATCTCTATTTTTCCCACAACAATTCTTTCTGTATCTCTTGTATTTTTCTCTTCTTTCTAATTTTCCTTTCTTGTGGTGTGTTTTCTTCAGCAACTGAACACACATATTTATACTGAGAGATGAGGGAGCAAGACATGGCTTGCCTTACTGCATTATTACAATTATTGTTATAAAAACAAAGAATAGATATGGGCACCAATGCACGGGCATGGGTCTACTTCCAGATCTGAAGTAAACCGGTGGTTATGAGCTCAGATCTGCTTGAACCGCCTCAAAACCGTTGCTAGACCGCGAGAATACCTGCAAAAACTCAACGCCGGAGGTGTTTCCGGCGTAGAGCCTCCGACGCTCAAGTCAGTATGTGAGTGATGAAGAGAGGTTGCGCAGCAGCTATTGGGGAGAGTGGGAATGAATGAGAGTTAGGGTTTGGGTTACCTTGTCTCCTTTATATAGGAGTGAATACTTACTTGAAGTGCCCAAAATGCCCAGGTCGGTGGACCTAGAAGGTCCAAAATACCCCGGTCGATTCGTCTCCCCTTGTTGCTGAGTCACTGCAAGATTCCTTCTTATCCTTGGTAACTTGTAGAGCTTTGGGTATGTTGCAAGTGTGGTGAATCGTCTTCACCACTTTGATCCTCGAGATGTACAGAGTCGACCTCGAGAACTAAGAGGTCGACTTACGAATATATGCGGTTTCGGAGGCTACACCCGGTTTAATTCCCTGCGGTGGTCGTCTCTTAGAGAGTCATGAGGAAATCGACTAGTGGAAGTCGACCTAGAGTATCTGGGTGGTTGGGAGTTGCATTCTTGATGTCCTTTTAGTATGAGGTCGACTGGCGAAAGTCGATAGTTAGAGGTCGACTTGTGGGAGTCGACTAGACCAATTTCTGCCTCTTCTTGATTGTTTTCGGTAGAATCGACTTCAGGGAAGTCGACTTGAGCATGTCGATGAGTCATCTCGATATGTGAGTCGTTCAAATAGCTCACCGGTCGAGTAGAAAGCCTCTTAGACCGGGTTATCCTTATATGACTATATCATCTAGTCCCCCCCGAAAATTACTCTAAACAGTCGACTGTTTAAGAGTAAATTTGGTAATCGACTTCTTTTATTAACTATAATCGTTCTCTGTTCTTCGACATCAAAGCTCTACCCTTGTGGCTGTTCGATGTTGTAGGGGTTACATTATTGTCTTCTGGATAATTCTGACAACCTGACACCTTTTCAAATTTCGAATTTCAAATTCGTAGTTATCACATCACTTTAAGTCCGCCGCCTCGCCTTCCGCGCTTCACTAGGGACCGTCAGATCAGATCATGATCTAACAGCTGACAATCATTTGCTCCCTCTATAAGTATTCTCCTCTTTCTTTGAAAGATCACTTTTCCGCACTTGTTCTCTGAACCTTCTCGGACTTCTTCTTTACTTTTTCGTGCTCTCTGCTTTCCGGCGCTTCTCCCTCCGGCGGCTTCAGACTTCCAGAGTTCCGTCAACAATCATGTGTAAGTGTTATGATATCTCAACTTATGTTATTCCTCTTTGTTCTGTGTAAATTTTCTGAATTTCTGGATTTTTCTGGGTTTCAAAACCTGTGTGTTCGAGGCGTTTGTTGAATGATGTCACGCAGGTTGCATGAGATCTTTCTTTCCTGGATCTTCCCTTAGATTTTGATATGGCCACATAAGGATAACCCGGTCCAGAAGCTTATTACTCGACCGGCGAACCACTCGAATTACTCGCACGTCGACATGACTCCGTCGACATGCCCAAATCGACTTCCCAAAGGTCGATTCTACCAAGAGCAATCAAGAAGAAGCCGAGATTGATCTAGTCGACTCTCTCAAGTCGACCTTAATCTACCGACTTTCACTAATCGACATCAATGAGGGAGGAACAGCAAAGCTCCCGGTCATCCAGATATTCTAAGTCGACCCCCAGAAGTCGACTGAACAAAGATGACTCTCTGAAGACGACTCCGCCTCAAAGAACTAGTCAAGCGTAGCCTCCGAATCCGCACATATCCACAAGTCGACTTCCAAGGTCTCGAAGTCGACTTCACATACCTTAAATAACAAAGATGTGATGACGATTCACCACACTTGCAATATATCCAAAGCCCTCCACATTAGGAAAGATAAGAAGGAATCTCGCGATGACTCAGCAACAAAGGGGAGACGAATCGACAGGGGCATTTTGGACCTTCTAGGTCCACCGACTTGGGCATTTTGGGCACTTCACGTAAGTATTCACTCTTATATAAAGGAGATGAGGTAACCCTAAAACCCTAACTCTCATTCATTCCCACTCTCCCCCATAGCTGCTGCGCAGCCTCTCTTCATCACTCTCATACTGACTTGAGCGTCGGAGGCTCTACGCCGGAAACACCTCCGGCGTTGAGTGTTTGCAGCTATTCTTGCGGTCTAGCAACGGTTTCAAGGCGGTTCAAGCAGATCTGAGCTCACAACCACCGGTTTACTTCAGATCTAGAAGTAGACCCATCATTTGGCGCCGTCTGTGGGGAGTTCTTAAGGGAAGAAAGAGCTTCACACCCAGTTCCGATCTGTTTGCCAATGGCGGAGAAGGAGAGCTTGCAGAGGAACCTGAGCGAGGAGTTCAGAGGGACGTGGATGGACAAGAGGCCACCACCACTTCCCACCACCAAACACTCCGTAGTTCAGATGACGGGAATACCGCCGTTCGGAGGATTTCCACCACCCGGGCTGACGTTGGGCGGAGAAACGCCTGTGACTCCAACCGGCGTAAAGTTACAAGTGTTGACTCAGGTAGGAACAAGTCAAAACCCTAACCCAGATGGAGAGAAGGAGCCAATGGAGGCCTCTCGACGCGAGGGGAAACAGATACAGGAGGTTCCGGAACAGACACAACCCCGCGTCGAGGAACAGACTCTGACAATGACGAGGAGTGAAATGCAGAAGATGATTGCTGAAGCCGTGGCGGCCCAGATGAAGCAGATAGCGCCGGTAGAACAGCAGCCTCGAGTCGAGTGTCCACCTCGAGTCGAGCATCAGCCTCGCGTCGAGTACCCCCCTCGAGTCGAGCAGCAGCCACGCGGCGAGCAACAAGCCCAGTTGAATGTGCAACAGAACAGAAGGGTAGATGAAGAGGAATCGTCCATTCGAACCATTAATCCACAGGCAAGGGACGAAACGTTGGAACAACTGCTGGCGCAGGTTCGCGACTTGCAAGCTCGAGTCGACGGGAGGAAGAGCAGAGGAGCCAAAGAACACCCATTCTCGCAGCAGATCCTAAGAGCCGACTTACCCAAAGGCTTCAGGGAGCTGAACGTATGGTATGACGGTACCACAGATCCGTCTCGACATTTGAGGAGTTTTGAAAATATGGCCGTGCTTCATCGTTACAGCGACCCAGTACAATGTCGCGCCTTCCTGACGACTTTGACAGGGTCGGCCCAAGATTGGTTTCATCAGCTTCCAGCGGGGTCGATTCGGGACTTTGATGGATTCAGCTCAAGTTTCCTTAACCAATTTGCAAGTGTGAGGGTGCAAGAGAAATCTTACCTTTCGTTGATTAGCATGCAACAGAAGAAAGGCGAGTCGTTGCGAGAATATGTGGCAAGGTTTACCAAGGCGTGCGTCGAATGCCCCACAGCGACAGAGGAAATTAAATCAGGAGGACTGACGAGAGGACTGCTACCAGGATTGTGTAAGAACTCCTTGGCCAAACGACCTGGTAGGAGTTTCGATGATGTGCTGGGAAGATGTGCCAAATACATGAACGTCGAAGAGGCTGAGGCTGACTACTTGCAGAGCATGAAGATGACTCAAACTGACAGTCGAGACGACAGGAAGGAAAAGAAGTCGACAGGAGATAGGAGAGGGTCCCCGAGAGCTGATAGGGGTGA